AAATATAATAAAAGTTTATGGGCTCTATGGTCCTAAGTTATAAGTTTACCAACCTAATATAATAAAAGTTTATGGGTTCTGTGGTCCTAAGTTATAATTTTACCAACCTAATATAATAAAAGTTTATGGGTTCTGTGGTCCTAAGTTATAATTTTACCAACCTAACATAATAGAAGTTTATGGGCTCTATGGTCCTAAGTTATAATTTTACCAACCTAACATAATAAAAGTTTATGGGTTCTGTGGTCCTAAGTTATAATTTTGCCAACCTAATATAATAAAAGTTTATGGGTTCTGTGATCCTAAGTTATAATTTTACCAACCTAATACAATAAAAGTTTATGGGTTCTGTGGTCCTAAGTTATAAATTTACCAACCTAATATAATAAACGTTTATGGGTTCTGTGGTCCTAAGTTATAATTATATATGTTCTACAAGTAATCCCACGTGCTACACGTACTTCGTCAGTGATACTTGATATACTTAGTCATAAATAACTTCATTATAATATTTAACAAAATTAAACCTAGCATTTTTGTTTATAAGAACGAAAAGTTACAAACTTTTAGAATGACTTTTAAAGGCAAGCTTCATGTAGATATTTCTTTAAAATAATTTTGTCAATGTATTCATTCTTTTTTTAAGTTATAACATCGGTATGAAATTTCTGATTTTATTCATTTAAAACAAAGTCTCCTGTTTTTGAACTTGGTGCAATACTGATAACAATTATAAATGAAATAAGCTGTTTAGTATCCCGCTAGTTCCTTTAAGTGTCTCTAATTATCAAATTAAATCACAAAACGTCAGTAATGTAGAAATATTTTTATTAACGGTTTATCACTTCACTTTCAACAAGCATATATTTCTGAAATAAATTACTTAAATCGTTCTCTGTTAAATGCATATTTAAAACTTCTAACGTGAAGTACATATATGAGGCACACATGTTACAACACAGCATTAACTTCTATACTAAGTCACAACTCTCAACAACAATCGCATCAAAGGTTTATTAAGGCCATTCAGGAGATGCTTGCTCTCCCACTTTTTACACTGATACTAACATATTTTATTATCTGTCTTTCAAAAGGCTTAAGAGTGGTAAATCAACATCACTACATCCTTTGCACGTTCTGTGATTATTTTAAGAACTGAGAAAATAACATCACAATCACTTTCAGGTATTTTAAGACAAATAAACACACAAAGTACACATTTTGAAACAACTTAAGGACTACACACACACAATGTTTTTAGATCTATAGTCTGAACATTCAGAAGTTTCTTTACTGACTAGAAAGTTCACCAATAGAAATTGATTAATTAATTTAAATTTTAGTTCATGAGTTCACTGCCAGGTTATGAAGTATGGAATATTTTTTATACTAATAGTTCAAACTGTGTAACACTAATAACAAAAGCCTGTGATACCTTAGACGTTAGAAATTAATATTTTTTTTTGGTGTTGACAAAAGAAACAAGCTTTTATTTAGTTACTGACTCTTCACCCAAAAAATATTTACTTTGAAAATCAATATTTAGAATGATATGTTGTTAACCCAAATTAAAGGTTAATAAGATTTACTTCTGTTGTTAACCCAAATTAAAGGTTAATAAGATTTACTTCTGTTGTTAACCCAAATTAAAGGTTAATAAGAGTTACTTCTGTTGTTAACCCAAATTAAAGGTTAATAAGATCTACTTCTGTTGTTAACCCAAATTAAAGGTTAATAAGAGTTACTTCTGTTGTTAACCCAAATTAAAGGTTAATAAGATCTACTTCTGTTGTTAACCCAAATTAAAGGTTAATAAGAGTTACTTCTGTTGTTAACCCAAATTAAAGGTTAATAGGATTTACTTCTGTTGTTAACCCAAATTAAAGGTTAATAAGATTTACTTCTGTTGTTAACCAAAATTAAAGGTTAATAAGAGTTACTTCTGTTGTTAACCCAAATTAAAGGTTAATAAGATCTACTTCTGTTGTTAACCCAAATTAAAGGTTAATAAGAGTTACTTCTGTTGTTAACCCAAATTAAAGGTTAATAAGAGTTACTTCTGTTGTTAACCCAAATTAAAGGTTAATAAGATCTACTTCTGTTGTTAACCCAAATTAAAGGTTAATAAGAGTTACTTCTGTTGTTAACCCAAATTAAAGGTTAATAAGATTTACTTCTTTCAACTGAAGTCATAATACACTCTCTTTCAATACATTCTAAAGTCTAATTTTCTCATAACATCTGTTGAACGTAAGTACAAAAGTAATGTTAATTATACTTTTCAAGGCCTGAGATAATTTAAAATGTCGCGTGTTTCAAAAACCTTTACTTGCTAAAGCTATTTCACAAAAACTAACAAAAAAAAACAAAGTAAATACTTTATACACACAGTCACATAATTAAATACTTTATACACACACAGTCACAACTAAATACTTTATATACACACACAGTCACATAACTAAATACTTTATACACACACAGTCACAACTAAATACTTTATATACACACACAGTCACAACTAAATACTTTATACACACACAGTCACAACTAAATACTTTA